AGGATCTTACTGAAGCCAACTATTCCGAGGTATCAAATGCGAGCTGCATCCGCACAGCAGCCCTTGCAACATCATGTATGCGTACATTCCATCCTTCACATACGCCCTTGAACCCTTGGACGCTCCCAAAGAAATATCCCAAGACTATTGACGCCCAGAACACTGCGCCTATATACCAAAAGATTCGCTCCAAAACGCTGCTTCGCCTCCAGTCAACTGGCCAGGGTCGTGCGCGCAGCCTAGTAGTCCCGACTTCTCCTCCGATCATCATACGCTCCGCTCCCTCTCCGGCTGTGTCTGCGGCTCCTCCTCGGCGGCGTGTGCTCCTCAATGACAACAACCTCGTCATCGTCGTCATCGACTACCCGCGGCGGAGGCGGCGCCCTGCTGACCGATCGCGTCCTCTCCCGCATGGGAACTGGTTCGGCGTCGACCACAAACGGCGTGCCCACCCCGCTCTCTCTGACCCTGACTCTCTCAGTAGCGACGACGCGCGCACGACTTGGACCGCGGCTCTGATGGCGGTGGGCGCGGCTGCGCGAGCGGTGGCGCACGGAGAGCGTAGAGGCGCCGTAGGTCGAGGAGCGGTAGTCTGCGCTGGGCCCGACGCCATTGGCGCACATGTACAGGACGTAGACGAGAAGGAGAAAGCCGGCTACGGCGCCGAGGGTGATGCCGGCCACGGCGGCGGGCTCGAGGCCGCTATTGGTGCCGCCATAGGTCGCGGGCACAATGACTTCGGGGTCAGAGTTTTGGCGGGGGAGGATGGGCGTCGAGTCGCTGGGACCGGTGCCGGCAGGGTGAGGGAGGGAAAGCTGGTCGAGGATGGAGGAGGGGATCTGGCGGAGGGCAAGATTTGGAGGCGGCATGGTGGGCGGCGAGGCTGTCAGGACACGCGCCGCGTTTCGGGATGCATGCGACGGTTTGCAATGATTTGCGACTGGTCAGGAACGCTCGGAATCGGCAATGCGATTGCGGATGAGTCGGTTCTCCGCTTGAATGCCTCGGCGACTGTCGCAAGTTGGAATCGATGTTGCGGGCAAGGATGGCGAAGCACTAGCGATGGCTTGCGACAGAAGATGACGTTGGGCTCTTGAGCGAGAGCAAGCAGGTAGGTTAGAGCCACAGTAAAGCGCAGCGTCGATGGTAGATTGTCGTGGCTGCTGCAGGCCGAACAAGAAATGAGTGGACAGTCAGCTAGGTGGCGCCCCTGAGCCTTGGGAGGAGATGGATGTGAGACAATAGGGTCGGAGGAGGGGGAGGAGGAGGAGGCGTCGATGGTGGGATGTATGATTGAAGGATCAAGGTGGGCGGGGGCTTCGAAGCAAACAAAGTCATGGTTGGCAGGGCGTCGCTGTTCAGCGAGTGAACCAGGAGCGTACATAATAGGCGGGCGGCCACTTGGGCGGGAACGAGGGGACGATCGAGGGGGGGCTGGGAAGGATCGGTGCACGGGCCCTTGCAACATGGGCAAGTGCACATGTACACTCTGGATGGTCTTTCCGTCCGAGTCTTTCCTGCCCCTGCACCTGCAAGTGATAAGCGCCCGCCACAGCAGCCGCGGGATTCACACTACTTGATCTCAAATTGGCAATGACCCCCAGCAAAGAGTGTAAGCTGTTTCTCAGTCAATTGAGCCTCAACTCCATCCAGCCTGCAAGTCACCGCCGGTGATGGCCATCTCGCTGAACGCTGAGACTCGCTCAGCTGCCCCGTTCTCCAATTGACTATAGATCTGTATGATGTTTCTCATGGTTGGTTCTTACTGCACCAGCAGCCCACCCAGAGGCACACGCACATGTCACGCCAGCCCTGAGCTTCCCGTCCACCAAACAGAGGCCATGACTCTATTGCAAGCGAGGCCGTTGACAGGAGATATGAGTTGGGCAAGCAGAAAAGGTGACGAGCAAGGCACCAAGAAGAATTGTCGTTGACGGCCCGCTAGAAAGCTTTTCACATGCAATGACGAGTGCCCCAAGGTCCCAACATGGCGCCTGGAATGACATCACTTCCACCTCACACATGCCTTCCGTGCCTTCACAGTGGGGAGCTCTCTCTCTCTCTCTCTCTCTCTCCATAAGCTCTACCACCTGCTGCGTGTACCAAGTGAGGTAGAGGTACTTGCGCTGTCTCGTCGACGTCGATTACACGTTGGCGAGCACCATCCTGGCTTCGACTGAGTATACCTGACATGTGACGCCCTCGACTCTCATCCTTTCACATCCTCCACACCCTTCAACCCGAGACGCACTGCCTTCATTAACCCGAGCAACATCCACTGCCACACCGTCCAAACCACTCCTCTCCATCGCAGCAATGGACCACCCAGGTACGCTCCCACCATTGACCCTTGCGCAGATCTCCCGCGCCTCCCCCCCTTTTGCCTGCAACCATCATCACTAACCACCACGCCCCCTCCATGTCAGTCAAGGAAATCCGCCCCATCATCAGGTCCCTGACCCAGGGCACACCGGCCGAGCAGCAGCAGACTCTCGAAACCTACTTCACCCCCGACGCGACCTTCGCTCACCCCTTCTGCCGCGTCCCCTCCATCCCTACTTACACCCTACCCTTCCTACCCGACAAGCCCGTCAACTCGCGCCTCATTATCCTGTTCATCTACCGCTGGTACCGCATCCTCTCGCCCCGCATCGACGTGGACATAAGCTCCGCCGTCCACGACCAGAAACAGAACCTCCTCTACCTCCAGATCACCCAGGCCTTCACCTTCTTCTTCCTCCCCGTCTACACCCCGCGCATCCGCCTCACCACCGTCCTCCACCTCGACCAGCGCCCCGCGCCCCACGACGCCCACACCACCGGCGGTCTCCTGCCCATCCGCGCCGGCGCCGGCTCCCCCGGCCCCGAGAACGCGGCCGTCGGCGTGCCCGCCAACGGCGCCGCCGGCAAGCAGCGCTATTTCATCACGGCCCAGGAGGACCTCTACCAGACGACCGAGTGGCTCAAGTTTCTCGTCCCCTGGGTCGGCGCTCCGTTGCTGGCCGCCTGGCAGCTCTTTGCCACGCTGCTGAGCGTCGTCGGGGCCGTCGTGCTGGCGCCCGTGTCGTGGCTTGACGTCCGCAGCGGCGAGGTCAAGGGGGTCAGAGGACCTCTGAGGTGACATGCTCTTTGGACCTGAAAGGCAGAGGGGGAAGACGGAGGGAGCGCTGCCTCGGTAGCAAAGACGAGTCGATGCCGGGCGATGCCGATTGCCACGAAGCAAGATTGCATATCAGAGAGGGAAATTAGATAGACACAATGTGCTGGCAGACACGACACATGCAACATCTCCTGTGACACTTCCAGTCAGGGCGAAACCATCGCCCCATCAGTCATCATTCATGCCAGAAAAATATACACAGGCTCCTACCTCAATGGGTATTTCCTCCTCCTTGTCGCCCTCCTTTTTTCTCTGCCTCTCCCTGACCGTATGTACTGTACACCCCGACATCCTGGCTGCACGTCCGCCTTGCTTTTCCGGTGAATCTCGCTCTCTCTCTCTCTCTCTCTCTCCCGCCGAAATCATCACGCACCGTTGGCGCCGTTGCCACTGCCGTTCCCGTTGGCGCCGCTCCCGTTTTGCTGACCCCCAAAGAAAAACCCATCAAATAGGTTCATTTGCTGCCCCTCGCTAAAGTCGTGATGCAGGTTGTCCCAGTTGATGCCGAATCCAAGATCGAGCTGCTGCTGGGCCATGTCGGCCCCGTTGCCCGCCGCGCCCGACGCCATGTCGCCGCCGCCGCCGCCGTTGCCGGGGCCTCCCTCCATCTGCTGCAGGCTCTGGAAAAAGTCCACCATGTTCGAGTCGGGATACTCCATCTTCGTGTTGCTCGACACGCTGGGCACCGACTGATACGGCGTCGGCGCGTGATACGAGCTGTTCGTGTCCCGGCGGAGAAGAGTCGGGGACGGGACCATGGTCGGATCGTGCGAGACGTCAGAGGGACTGGCCTGGGCGCGCTGCTGGCGGGCGAGGAGGCTGAAGGGATCTGCCTCGAACGTCTTGGCGCGAGATGTCACTGGCGACTGTGTCGGTGGGAGCTCGCCCCCGACGGACAGACTCGGCGACGAGAGACCGTCAGACAACGACAGGTCCATTTGGAAGTGGGTTTGCTGGGGCCGCGAGGGCTGTCGCCGCCGCGGGCCACTTGCTGTCGATGACCCGTCGCCGCTGGCCGAGTTCCAATCCATGCGGCCTTCCTTGGTCTTACGCTGAACGACAGCGCCAAAACCACCAGTCGAGTTGGCCATCTTGATTGTTGCCTTGGCTGTGCGGTCGAAGGCGTCGCGGCACGTCTCAGCTGGCGGGCACTTGTCGGTGAGATCTGTGAAGACGGATTTGGCAGCCAAAATGGTGAAGTCGACTTCGTCCATCGTCTGGGCGCGTGTTAGGAAAGTTCAGCACTCAGAGGGCCAGCGCCGGGACTTACCAAGCGGCTCCTCACGATGGGCGAGTGCCAGATAGCGTAGAGGTACGATATTCCCGCCATGAACAAATGGTGGGTGGACAGGTAAGTATAGCTGACGAGTCCACTCAGGTGGAGCTGCCTGTAAATGCGCAAGATCTTCTGTCCTGCCTCTGCGACCTTGAGATAGATACGATCCTCGTCCTCCCACAGCTCCGCCTGAAACGCTGTCGGGCTGTTGACCTCGGTCGATGTATTGTACTCCCCTTCAAACATGGCCGGAACGCTCAAGCTCTGTCGGTAGAGCATGATGATGGCTTGCCAGTAATTGAGCTCAAGGAATTCGGTCGAGAATGCCACGCCCGTCTCTTCCCTCGTCGGCGCCGAGTTCTTCCACTGGTAGAGTCTCCGGTCGACATCAATTCTCCAGGAACGGAATGAATCGAACCTGACCAAAAAGGGCGAGGGTAGATGGGTGTGCATATCGGAGTTGGTGAAGTTTTGTCCAACTGCGCGCGCCACTTGTGTTTGGTTGTACTGCAATACTTGCAGAATTTCCGACTGGAGCAGTCGCAGCTTGAAATAATGATAGGCAACGTTCTTGTAGCTCGGCTCGGGCTGTTCGAGTGGCGGGGGTTCGAGGAAACCGGCTGGCGTGACATACTGGTCGTCGAGCAGAGAGGGGAACTCTGTCGTGATGACCTGGTCGCTGATGCCAAACCGGCCTGCCAACGCATGTGCTGACGAGACGGTCGAAGGAATACGTGCACCACCAGAGCCGCCGCCTCATGTCGCGAATATAAAGCCGCCTGCCGCGCTCGCGCGCATGGCTCTCTCTTGTTTCGCGTGTCTCCTTGCTTTCGGGTTCCGAGCCGGCAGGAGGGAGGTCCGGTATCGCCGTCTCGACATCACTACCATCTTCGTAATGCAAACCCAAATCGACGGCCAGTCGCACAGCAACACCAATGATATACCTTTGCATGTTAGCTAGAACACATCACACCAATGCAGCAGCAAAACACATACCAGAGACCTGGAGGCACCGGTCGAAGCAGGGCAAAGTTCGCCAGTAACAAAACAGCCTGCAATACCTCCAATCCGCCTCCGCTAGACCCGAGACAAGCCTCAAGATGAACGATGGCGCTCGCGTGGTATTCCTCGGGTTGAGCCTGCCCGAACTTGTTCATGTCGATCGGATTCCTCGGCCCGCCGCTACCCGACCCCTCGGACTTGACAGGCTCACCAACGATGACACCGCATCCAATGGCAAACACCATGTTGAGCATGTACAGCTCGCGCGAGCCTTGAGGTCCACCCGGTGTGGCATATGCTTGCTCAAACATTGTCATGAATTCGGTGCGATGCAAAATGGGAATCTGCGGGTTGGCGTGCTCGAAATACAGAGTCACCAGTCTGGCACCCACTTGCTTCTCTGGGAAAGGCGCGGGTCGAATGGTAGGCTTGGTGTGCAAGCCGAAGAAGGAATCCCGCATGGTGGTGCCGCCGCTGGCACCGGCCATCGCGCCCTTACCTCCGGCCCGTTCCGAGGTGCCATTGTGATCCGACACAGAGTACTGTACAGCGGCGAAAACGACACGGTTGAAAGATACGCCAGACGCAGAGGCAAGAGAGCGGGGTTTCGAGGGGCTGACAATGTTGAGCATACCCTGGTTCGCATCCGCTTTCTTCGTCTTCTCAAGATCGGGTCGTATGGGCTGCTGGGTCTTCGTCGTCGTGCTATGGCTGTCGATGCTCTCGGAGCGGGCGGAAAAGTTTGAATCGGCGATGGATCTAGAGGGCTCGTTGCCTGGTCGTGAGCAGCGTTCCAGGTCCTCGGCGGGAGGGAACGTAATGTTGTTGGCCGTCAGCAACGTTTCGAGCTGGTCGACGCGCATCTCGAGATAGTAGACATAACTGTTGGCAGTGTGAGCATGGCGAGCCGGGTGGAACTGAATGCCTCTGCATCGGCGCATACCTCCTGGGGATCTCCTTCTTGGTAATGGGGTCATAACCAACACAGGCGACGCCAGCTTTGGCGCAACTGGCGCAACTCGGGAGCTTCTGATCGCATCGGTTCTTGCGCAAGCGACATCGATTGCATGCGCTCACGTTGCGGAACGTGCTGCTCTGCTGGGCAGCAGACTTGCTGCTCTTATCGCCGATGACATCGTTGAGATCGGCCGACGGGCTCTGGTCGGCGCCTCCGGACGTCGGCGACGCATCGTCGAAGGAAGACTGCCGGGCGCGTTTCGGGGACTTAGCGGAGGGGGAGGGCGGTGAGTGGGCGGGCATGGTGAAAGCTGGGGGGAGGCGGATTCGCTCTCGAGACCAGCGCGCGTCACGTAAGATCGAAGTAACTATTCGGAACCTGTAGACGGGCCATTGTTAGTTGGAGGCGCAAACAAATTTGCGTGCCGCAGGGGGGGGTGGGGAAAGAGAGAATGGCCATGGAGAGTGTGAGAGACAACAAAGCTGGGGTACGAACAAAAAGGGCGAAAGAACAGTATCACGTTTTTATTTGGACCTCGAATCGCCCGGCGGCGGCTCCGCCCTTTGTCTAGATAGGAACGTCGGCAATGTCTGGGACTGGCTGCGGGGAGTTCGGGAATGCCAAGGAGCTGAGCTATGGCAGGGTTCCAGCGCTGCTATAGTTCGCTCTGTTCGGTCCAAGTGAGAGAGAGCCAGAGGGAACCCCCGGACTTATTGACGGAGTCGGAGAAGGGAGAAGAAAGTCTGGGGATGGGGGTGGGAAGGTGACAGGTGCAACTTGTGGCCCGGAGATCCCTCGACCAAGGATATTGGAATCAATTCATCCCAGGCATGCCTTGCAGGTCAGCAGGCCTGAGGGGAGGGGGGGGGGACGAGATGGGCGGCGTCTT